TTGTGGCTAGCAAGGCAAGCCCTTCTGCTGAATCTCTGTAAGTCTCTGGGTTCCCCATGTTAGCACCAGCAGGCAGATGGGTTTAGGTACAAAAATAGTCACCCAGCACACTGGTTTTGCTCTTCATCATTTTGTTCCCCAGCAGTAGAGAGGCTCAGCAGCAAACACAATGAAAACCCTTCACTAAGATTCAGGAAAAAGCTTCCGTTCTGGTAACAACGGTTGGGAGTGTAGTTACAAGCCCATCAAGTCATAAAAAGTGGTTCAACAAGATACTTAAGAAAGTGATTGTTACCCCTTCCCTGTTGTTTAACTGCATGCCAGCTGCAGGCTTGTGGAGCTACACTGGTCTTGAGCTAGCCCTTATCTGGCTAGTATTTTCTGGGAAGTAGCCCCATCACAGGGCCACAGTAGGGGCTGTTTTCTTCATTTATCTGCCTACTTTTACTGGGTGTTGTCGAAGGCCCTGTATTTTGTACTGCCATTTCAGATGCCCTGAGAAGCTTTTAAGCTTTGTAGTATTTTGTGTATTGTCATTAAAAGTTGTACAAGGGCCATTCATAACACATTTGCTCTCAGCTTTGGAAGGAGCCTTCTCTGGACACAGTAAAACCAGGGCAAGAGATTATATTAATCCTAGAGCAAAATATTTTAGCAGTTTTATGTTTCAAGCTCAAGCTACTCCCCATCCCAGGTTTTTTCAGTCTGGGGTTTGTGGGTCACACAGTGTCCATCTTCTGACCTGAATTTGCTTGGGAGTTAGTTATCACAACTTATTTGGTTCTCACCCTAGTTTGTTAGCGAGGACTAAGTAAAAGATTATTTATTTGCACAGAGAAGCTGAGTTCAGCTGCAGAACCTATACTTCTGCAGTTCATGCTGTGTATCACCAGCTACTCTTGGTGTCACGAGGACATTGAGCAAAGAATAAAGCCGTTTCAGCAGTATCTGTCTTGTGACAGAGAAGGTCCTGCAGTGTTACCTCTGTTGGGATATTCACAATACAGATCAGCAAGTCCTAGCATTGTGCACCCTAATCAGATACTGGCTTGTGCCTTTGGACCTGTAATTTTTCAATAGCAAGAAAATATTTCAATACCCTATAATGCTTTATAGGATTATACTATTACACTTCTTAAAAAATGTTAATAAGTGTATTAACTTCTAAGCAGTTACATATTTTCCTTTTACACTTCAAAATGAAACATCTGAAACAATGAAACATCCTAGAAAATAAGCATGTATACATAAGTATGCCTTTTTATCTTTAAAAATAGCCCTGAGGTCTCCTTTATTCCCCCCTCCTGTGCTTTGAAGCTTGGCCGTGTCTCTCCAGCAGCTTGCAGCCCAGCCCCACTCGCTGTATTGTTGCTTGCTGTGCTGTGCTGCTTTCCTGTGCTTGATATCCATAGGAAGCCGCAAGCAAATCCTTACCTACCAGACGGCGACAGAGGTGAAGGTGTTTGGGGAGCGGCGAGCATGGGGGCTGCTGTAGCCCACCCTTCACACCTGCCTCCACCTGCGCCTGTGCAGGCCGGCACGGGCACTGGCCTCTGTGCCAGAAGGGGAGCTGTGGAGAACTGGAGAAAAGCCTTTCACTAAAAATGGCTCCTGCCCTTCCAGCCCCTCTGCCCTTTTATTGTCCCTGCTTTATCAGTTATTACCAGTTAATGTTTCATTTTCTGTTGTTGTCTAACTGAAGCTAAGAAGCACCTTGTAGACAGCAGCTGTCAATTAGTTATGATGAAAGCAGAAATTTAGCTTCCATCTTGCCTGCATTTAGAGGGTTATAGCAGGACATTAATTCAATTGCTTTCTTATCGTCTGAATTAATCTCGTTGCCAGCATTTGTGGCTGCCAGGCGCTTGGGGGGTGAGCAGGTCCTGCCTTCCTTGTCAGTCCTTTCCTCCCTCCCTCCGAGAAGGACCTCCAGCTGGGTGGAAGAAAGTAGCTAGTTTCAGCAGAGGAAATACAGGGAGGAAAAAAGATAGGTGTGAAGAGGGGGGAAAAGAGAAAAAATAACATGGAATAAAAAAGAAAGGAAGAAATGAAAGAAAAGACTTTTGGGGAGGAGCAGAAGAAATGAGAATGGGAATACTTATAAAGAAAGGCTTTCTGCAAATATATGTATGTATTTTCACAAGCCTATAATTCATTAACATCAATGGGCCATGTTTGAGAATAGCCCACCTAACTTTAGGTGCCCATCTCTGACTAGGGTCCCCTGGTAATCAGTAAGTGCTTCAAAGGGACGGCCCATTTCAGACTCCTGCTTTGGGATGAGATAGGTCTTGGAAGAGCCTCTTTCTCTCTGCAGCAACTCAAGGGTTGTGCTCCTATTGTCAACATCCACGTTTGGTCAGGTGAAGTCCCTGAACTTCCTGATTTTGCTCTCTTTATACAGAGAGTCCAGCTGCAGTGGGATGAAGGGAAGGCCTGTGGTTTCACACCCTGTACCAACTCTTACCTAAGCTTTAGCAGTATCCCTTAGAAAAAGGCAGAAGCACTTGGGGGCAGCAGAAATGTTATCTTACAGCAGACAGCAAAAGATTCCCTCAGCAACTGCTGTCTTAAAAGTAAATGTTAGAAGCAGGAAGAAAGAGGAAAACATAGGGCTGTGGTTTCTGGGTAGCAGTGCCATCCTGTTCTTCCCTTCCCCCGGCCTTTTCCTTTGTTCACAGATTTGGCACATGAAACTAGGTCATAGCTCTTAGCCATACATGTTTTAAAGGTAGCAGTCACTCTGTGAACATGACATAACACCTCTGGGATGTTTTGAGGCATTTTAGTTTTTTGGGTTTTTTTATGTAATGTAGAAAATCTGGTTTATTTGGGATTAGATTTTCTGCTGTTCCTTGGCAGATGGCACTGCGAATGGTTCCTGTGTTGCCAGGGTAGGCAGCACCTGGGTTTATCTGGGTGCAGTGGATTGTCTTTTATTTCCTTGCTGAAGATGTGAGGTGCCACATCACAGCAGGGTGACACAGTGTTGGGACTCCTCCACAAAGATGGACAAGAGAAGCCATGCTTAACATCCTGTGGTGAGGTGGGGAAGTTCAGCATCTGTGCCAGGCTGCCCATAGCAATCGTCTGCCAAAGTCTGTGAAGACAAAACACATCTGGAGAGCACGTGTGCTTCTGCCCATGGAGGAAACCCTGGTCCCTCTCATTGCCCTCTCTCTACTGGTATCGTTTATGGGCTGTGATGTAAAGTGGAGGAAATGGAGAGTGTGAATACTAATCTCACCCTGGAAAACGTCACTTGTCTGGTTTCCTTAGGTACAATTTGTGCTTATCGTTCTTGGGCAAAAGTTAGTAGGGCACAGCTGGTTAAACAAACCCAGCCCAAATATAATTTCCGTGCTTATAACACAGAGTATTTAACCTTTCATTACTCCATCCCACCCAAACCAGAAGTCTATTTTTTGCATTCAGCCTTGCTCTTTTTTCAGACAAAAGGAAAAAAAAACCAACCAACCCTGCAAAACTTACTTCATAAAGAGCTGAACTTAATCTCCAAGCTGAGTTTATATCACTTATTTCAGAATGTACTAGCTGCATATTGTACATCATCTTCATGTATGTGAAGACAAGAAATGGCACATTGCATATAAAAACAGGAAAATACATTATTCATGTAATAAATGTATTTTCATATCTTCTGGCAAAAAGTGGGCTGCCTACTAGTAATTGTGTGTCATATTTTAAAATAATGATACAGATTTTTAATGTCTCTCTGCTGCTTTGCCTTGCCAGTCTCCTGTTATAGCCAGCAAAAGCATGTTCCCAGGGGAAGAGACCCTGAATGCCCTCAGCACAGCAGCTCAAGTCCCTGCTTTATCAGTCAGATACTTTAAGAATGTTTCTTTCAAATTTCTTTCAAATTCATCAAGTTTTGGAGGTCAAACCTTTACTTTTAGTCTACGCATCAAAGCTAAATCATGCTATGTCTAAAATATGCTTGCTCTGAATCTTGGAGGAAAATCCTATGTTTAAGTAACAGTTTTATCAAACTTCAAAAAAATGTCTTTCTGGGAAGTGACAGGCAGAAAGAAGCCTCAAAACACTAAACACCTCTCACTTCTTGCAGTAACTCAGATCCTTCCACCCTCGACCACGCTCTGCTGTCTCCAGATGAATGCACCTTCCTTAACTTGTAGTTCATCTCTCACCTCACCGAAGTGCTGATCATGTTCAAAACGCTTCCAGAGAAGGTCAGTAGTTGCTAATGCTAGAAGAGAATTTTGTTCTAGGCACTAAGCCACATGTATCTTTTCACATGAATTACAATTTTGTTTGTCATTGGACATGGGGAAATAAACATCCATGATTTTAATTTGGATGCAGCTAGCATGTGCCACTGAGGAAGGGTGTTGACAAAGAGTGCCTCTGAGGAAGGAGAGCACCTTTGGTCCTCTGGGTTTAGAGGCAGAAACAACAGCAAAAGGAAAGGAAGGAGCATTTAGTTAAATATCTAAAGATCTTTAAAGACCAAAAGTAACTCAACCAACCCCAGCCATGCTGTGTTGCCTTTTTGTATTTGTGAAAGTATTTTCCATCCCACCAGTTTATCAAGTATTGTTCCTTTCCCCACGTACAAAGAAGAGTAAGGTTGGGACCTTTATGTCTTCTGACTTATTTCTGCTGGAATAGAGAGGAGAGTGGAGGGAAGGGAGGAGGCACCTGGGCCAGCCCTGGCAGTGCAGGGGTTGGTGCAGTGCAAGGGGGAAGGACTGTCAGGGGAAGGCTGCCTGGCTGTGTCTGTCTACTTGGATAGATATAAACACTGATAAAAGCAGTTGTACTAGATGGGACAGTGACAGCTGGGAGTGATATCCTGAGCTTGAGCAAAATCCAGTGAGTGACATTGCTCTGAGAGCCTCAGCACTCTCCCAGAGTGGTCTCATTTGGTGCCCAGGAGTGGTTGTGACCCAGAAAGCAAAAATATTTGCTACTTAGGGACATTGATCTGAACAGTTTTGTCTATGTCTTGTCTGCAGGCTGCCCTCAGAGCTCTTCACCTAAGCCTAGAAATTGTTGGTGCAATTCATGATGTGGTTTCCTATCTCCTGGCTTTTGCTCAATTAGGAAATTCCCCAAACTGCTTTTGTGCCTTAAACCCAGAGCCTCTGACCTCAGACTGGGGAGAGACTGACAGGATTGGTAAGTAACAAATACTGTGTGCTTAAGGTAGGTGGTTCCAGGTGCAAAAGAGTGTGAAATGCTGATGGTGAGCAAAGGACAAAAGAAGCATGAAGATGAGTTCAATGTCAACTGAAGAATACAGTCAAGGTGAAATTCCAGTCTTATTTTTTTTTCATTTTCCTGCTCCATTTTACTGAGGGTAGACTGTTGTGTTTCAGACACATGCCCACAGCATCGCAGATCTGCTGCAGACTCACAGAAAAGCAACATACCTACCAGGGTCGGGAGGCCTGCTTTGGCAGGAAACAGAAAACATGGTCCAGAAATTGCTCTTCTGCCTCTAGCAAGTGTCTGCTAAGCCTGTGATGAGTTTATCTTTACCAGAAGATTAAAAAAGGCAGGCTTGGGTTCCTCTAGTAAATCAGTCACTTGATTCTCTTTCCAAAGGGTGAAACAGCTGACGCATGTGTCGTCCTGCATGAGCACGTATTTGCGTAGAAGTAGTGCTGGTTTCCCTAATAGCTTTGACCTGTTGTTCAAGTTAAACTGCAGGAGTGGGACTTATCTACCTTTCCTGTAGTGGTTAGCAGTGAGGTATGTAACTACTGGTATCCAACCACCAGTTAGGTACCTCTGCTGTCACTGGACACCTTTGCGCCATTACAAAGACACCTTCAGAGGAGCTGCTTGTCCCAGGCTAAAATGTGTTCAAATTGAGTGGGATGGAACCCGCTTTGTAGGTGCTTAAAATTGCAGGGGCCCAGTTAAACTTGATGCCTGATAATTAGGCAACTAAAGTTGCAGGAGATAATCCTGTCCCAAATGCTGTAGTGCACTTGGCATTTGGATTACTTTTACAGTGCGGTGAGCTGGAGTTTCAAAACGTGACACATTATGCACCCCTTCTCCTCTGAGCTGAGTGTGCTGCATGGCTGGACTGTTTTCATGCCACCTAGAAATGCCCACATTTATGTATCTGTACATTTGGCACTGCTTAGACACAACTCAGGAGTAAAAATTTTACCCGCACAGCTTCCTTTCTGTCCTGGTGCCTTTTAAAAAATGAAAAATTGATTATGACAATTGGGTGAAAACATAAAATTCTGCAAGAATTGGGAAAGATATATAAAGACTAACTGTCTTTTAATGTCTCCAGATTTTATCCCTTTTGTATTTTTCTTTTTATGTGAATGAGATTTTTATCATCAGTTCTGAATTTATCTTTGTGAAAATTCATTTTGGAAGGGAAGAAAGGACTCAGTGAATCATAAACACTTGTTACAGCTTTTATTATAATATTGTGCTTGTGAATGTTTGGTTCTGAAGTGGCTTTATTTTCTCTAACAAAGAGCACTCCCTGTTCTGTGGTGTGCGCTCATTGTAGCATCAAGTGCATATTAGTAACTTCATTTGTATATGGCTGAGAAAGCTCATGTAAATTAGCATGTTTAATGAGCTTTGAAACAATCAGGAAGACTGAGCTCAGTGATCAGTAAGAAACCACATAACCAGATGTAGGAGGAATATTATGTGCAATGTATTTCAATTTCAGACTTATCTATTGTGTGCCTACCTACCACACCTTTAAAACAGAAGATGCGGACTTCGATGGAATCCTCAGTACTCTGCTGTCTCTATAACACATTTTGTACAGACAATTTAACTCCATTACTCCTGACCAAGAGATCTTTCTTGTTGTTGCTGCTGCCGAGGAATTATTTCCTTCTCTCCCAGATCAGACCATTTAACTTCCTTAAATGATGGCAGCCCCTGCAGCCTGACAGAGAGAATATTGGGTTTCTAGAACAGGTGCTTCCAACTTAAATCACTTCTGCGATGGCTGTGTCCTGGGAGGCAGTCAAGCCCTGTGCATGCATTTCCTACAGACACCGAGTAAGATCAAGTGCTCTTGTAGGGGTAATGACTTGCAGAGACCCATTGCTTTGGGAAGTTTTTGGCTAGGCTTAAGGAGAATTAAAAAAATTTAGAGCTTTGGCTTGCACAATTGAGCCCCAGTAGTATTTTATTGAAAACAGTTGGAGAAGTTGTCCCTATCATTCCCTACCACGTAATGACTAGTTTAAGTCTTTGGAATAAGTAAAATGCCATCTCAAGATCTGATTTTGCTCCTGTCTGACAAATTTAATCTTGATATTTTCTGTTGGAAGGGACCTACAGTGATCATCTAGACCAACCAGATATGATAACGAGAAAGATATACCACTGTCCTTGTTGGTATTTTATAGTCATTGATTTTTGAATGGGAAAGGATAATAAAAGAACCATTCTTTTGAGATGCTTGTAACTTTTCATTCCTACACCTTTTTCCTCCCTGACCTTACTACATCCTCATAATTCTCTACTTGCAATAATCTCTTTTATTGAAGCCTGATTTTGTAGTGTTAAGGTGGATATAAATGCATTCTTCTTCTGCCTCCAAGGGGAAAAGAAGAAAGGAAAGAGGAAAATTAAGAAAGCCATGACGTACAAAACTCCTGGAGGAAAAAAGGGCTTACTGAACTGAGATATTGTTATATGCATTTCCTGAGACCTTATCCAATAACCTGACTGTTCTTGGGACTGCAGAGACTGAACTTCAAGAGATACAGAAAATGATTGACAGTCTCCAGAATCCACTGGATCCCAGTGAAGTAGCCCAGCTGCTGACCGCTCACAGAGAAGTGATCTTTCTACAGTTCGATGCAGCAATCAGGTCATCGACTATGGTAGGAATGACAGTCTGCTAGGGATGGGGCTGGCACCTTTTTTTTTTAAATAGACTTTTTTTTGTTGTTTGCAAAGAAATAAAAAATTATAGGAATGATTAATTTAAATTTTGTCCATGGTATCTGCTCCAAAATAATGAAATGTGCCCTGTAAGTATAGAGATTCTCCTTTCACTAGAAGTGCCTATTTTCCTTTAAATAAAAGTGGTGAGAGTCCTTAGATGCTTCACTGAGAGGTCTCAACACACCACATCTGAGTACAGCTGTCCTATTATCTGAGCATTATATCACCTTTATGTTGTGATCCTTAGATCACAAATCAGGCAGGTTGGTAGCTGTTATAGAGGTAGACTTATGAGTTCATGTTCTTGTTTTGCTGTAGTATCTACATATAATTTTGTATTTTCCTCGATCAAAGAATGCGTAATAAGTAGGTACAGGACTTACCTGCTTATACCGAGGTCTAGGTTTACCCTCCTGTAAAATGCTGTTATTTACCCCATCACAGAAACCCAACTAAGATGTACATTTCATAGCTTTCTGAAAAGTAACTGTCTGCCTTTTCTCCCCGCTGTCTCCCAGATGTTGTCTGTCAGTAATGGTCACAGAGTGGTTTGAATGTACTCAATGGAATAACCTTGGCAGACCTAAAACAAGGGCAGGACATGCAAAAGTAAAGGAGATTTTAACTCTCCTCCCCTCTGTAGATGCCCTGTGGTGGCATGATGCAAAACTAGATGTGGAGGTGTAGCCTGCGTGGGGCAGGCCATGGAGTCCAGAGGAAAAGAAACAACTCCTGGACTTAGTTTTGAGTCATGTGTAGGACCAAGTTCAAACTGCTGCAGTTAAAGAGCTGTTCTCTAAGAGCAGCCATGATGTGCTTGCATAAAACATCCAGAGAAATATCACCATAGCTGAGCTCAGTTTCAAAATGCGAAACTACATAAAAATGTGAATACTTGCTGAGAAAAAACCTAAAAAGATTAGCTAGGGGAGTTAAATCCTTGCAGATGGCATGGGGACTCTTTGGGAACATACTGGAGGCACTCAAGAAATGCATACCACATGTGAAGAAAGACTTAAAAAAGGGA